CCCGGGAGCCGGATCTACCTTAGTTGAACGTATTGTGCAGTGCAGGTATCATCAGCCATCCCCAGCTCGGGGCGGGGGCCGCTCATTTGCGTACGGTGTACCAGTATACTCAACATCTCGATTCGACAGGAAGCAATACTGTAAAGATAGGAATCTACGGACAGGCAAAGCTGTAAGCCCAGCTCTGACGGCGTATAGACTAGAGCAGGATTGGACCCGTACCAGCCCTTGCGGCGGATCCAACATTAGCCATGAATATCCAATAAGTACCTAGTCTAGAGCTTGGTTGCAGGATTTGAGCCGAGATGCTTTGAATGGCGTACATTGCCTTGAATACTTTTTATTTTCGCGTTGAGATCCTTCCCACGGATGAACATGTTGGGCGGGCACCGCGTGCCCACCGTCGCTTGATAAGCTCCCCGGCTGTGTGGTTTGGTTGTCGTTGAATGGCAGCTTGATGCAGGTAAGTCCTCATTGGATGCCAATGAATTCCTCTCCAAGCTTAGGAGAAGTCTCATACTAACAGGTCGTCATGATGCGGATTCATACACTTGCGATACCAAGCATGTCGCAGACCATCAAGCATATCAAGCAAAGTTGCCATTTTTGACAAAGTCGAACAGCTACATTGGGATAGTCACAACCTTGCACTGTCCCAATTTTACCCACGCCACTCAAGTCATAATTACGTTCCGTATCTCTCTAGCTGCATGATGGGCGCAACGCACATGTGGATGGTGGCATTGTCCTTTGAGTACACGCCACTCGGCCGCTGAAACTTGTCCGAAATGTCCTGGGCTCAAGTATCGTGGCATTCTAGCCCATCCTCCGCAGCAAGAACGTGCCGCGCAGCTACATGTGGTATTTTCGATTCCACTCAGCCTTATGCTGTGCCGGGCGGGTAGCCAAGATCAATTCTCCGCCTTCCCGACGGATTCGTCAGCCATCCTACCTTAATACCTTACGCAAGGTGGGCGTGGCGAAACCACCAAGGTCGCCACTTGCTGAATCGCGGCAAGAGTGGCCGGTAATCAAGAGCCGGCTGTCGTGGAAGCAACTTGGCCAATAAGACTTCTCCGCATAGGTACGTATATAATGCCGTTCGAGTCTTGGGATGAACTGAAGACTAAGGTGGTGGCAAGACACGAGTCCAAGGAGACGTGCCAGCGGCCCAGCGCATCTCTTTTGCGGACTCAGCGAACGGTACGACGCACTGACCTTTGGTGAACAACCAACCCCAGACCAGGTGATGACCATGGTCGGATGACATAAGCGGTTTCATCACGTGAGGTCGCGACTGTTTGGCACCAAAGAAGCTGTCGGGATTTATCCTTCCATGGGTCTGCCTCATGTCACTCATCGAGACAACTTTTCGGCAGGCACAGAACGGCGCAGGGCCATTGAGCTTCTCAAATGACGACCCCAGTCTCAACCACAACCACAACCTCGTCCTTGATCTCGGCCTCGGTCTCGACCTCAATCTCGAACATCTTCTGAATTCATAACGATCCTAGGCGTGAAGCTGCTACTATAGCACAAGATTGTACTAGTCTGACTAGATCTGCTTTGGAAATTGGCGCCCGCAACCAAGCTCCTTTACTCATCCCCCGGGTCCATTTCCTTAATTCACTCCACCTCCCCATGATTCAGTCTCGATCCGCCAACACAAATATCTCACTTGACCACCACGACTGTCTCTCAATCTACTGAATCGTTCCTGCTTCTTCTCACACCCGCTTTCGACAGTCAAATTGACTGTTTGGCTAGCTGCGGCACCCTTGCCATCTCAAGATGAAGTTCTTCATCGAGTCAGTCACAATCCGTAGCTTTACTAAGAACTCGCGTCACAACTAACAAAGAGGCTGCAGTGAATTGCCCGTTCTTTTCCCATATCCTTCGATATATCCTGAGCAATATGCGTGAGTTAGGTTATACGCCGGCAGCATCCAGGCGACCGATTGCTAATGCGGAGTTCAGATATATGTGTGATCTCAAAAGTGAGCACTCGTCTAAGCTGAATGGAACTCGATTTGGTGGATTAATTTCCTGACGAGCCTACAAAATTTACAGAAACACTGGACGCAGGTGGGCACTGCGTGCTGGAGATGCCCTCAGGAACAGGAAAGACAGTTTCGCTTCTGTCGCTCATCGTCGCCTACCAACAGCACAATCCCGAGCACCGGAAGCTGATATACTGCTCTCGTATGGTTCAAGTTGTCTGTGTTCCATCGCATCCAATCCACGGCTAAAAGTGTTCAGGTACCATGTCTGAGATCGAAAAGGCTCTGGCCGAGCTGAAGGCGCTCATGAAGTATCGAGCACAAGAGCTTGGCGAGGAAGAAGAATTCCGTGGCCTCGGTTTGACAAGTCGAAAGAACCTGTGTCTTCATCCTTCAGTCAAACAGGAGAAGAGTGGTTCTGTCGTTGACGCACGCTGTCGAAGCTTGACGGCAGGCTTTGTCAAGGAGAAGAAAGACCGCGGCGAGAATGTCGACGTTTGTGTCTACCATGACGTATGTCTCGTCTCACAGCCCTCTTCCCTCCTTTGGCCCTTGACATATTGCTGACTTGTCGCAGAACTTGGACCTGCTTGAGCCGCATAATCTGATTCCCAACGGAGTTTGGACGTTTGAAGGCCTATTGAAATACGGCGAGCAGCACAAGCAATGCCCGTACTTTACCGCGAGGCGCATGGTAAAAGAACCAGTCACTGGGAAGCAAGACTTAATCCGGTAATGTGGCACTGACCTTGAGTAGATGCAATTCTGCAACGTCATCATTTACTCGTACCACTACCTACTCGATCCGAAAATCGCCGAAAGGGTATCAAGGGAGCTCTCAAAAGACTGCATCGTGGTTTTTGACGAGGCGCACAACATTGACAACGTGTGCATCGAATCCCTCAGCACGGACATCACGGAAGACTCTTTGCGGAAAGCCACAAGGGGCGCGCAGAACTTGGAACGGAAGATATCGGAGATGAGAGACACCGACCAGGAGCAACTACAAAATGAATACCAGAAACTAGTTGAAGGACTTCGCGGCGCGGACGAAGCACGGCAGGAAGATGCGTTCATGGCGAATCCAGGTAGGCAACATCACTTACTTACCCATGCGCTGGCTTATTACGAACTAATATGTTCAAAGCACTCCCCGATGACCTGCTCAAGGAGGCGGTTCCGGGTAATATCAGGAGAGCGGAACACTTTGTGTCCTTCCTAAAGAGGTTCATCGAGTATCTCAAGGTATGTTAGCTTCACATTCCATGGTAAACCACACGGATACTAAGAACTCGTCAGACCCGGATGAAGGTCAGGCATACGATATCAGAGACACCGCCGTCATTCCTTGCCCATCTCAGAGAATACACTTTCATCGAAAAGAAGCCATTAAGATTCTGCGCCGAAAGATTAACGTCACTCGTCCGGACCCTCGAGCTCTCCAACATCGAGGACTATCAGCCCCTACAGGAAGTCGCTACATTCGCAACGCTTGTTGCGACGTACGAGAAGGGATTCCTGCTCATCCTCGAGCCTTTCGAGTCAGAAACGGCAGAGGTGCCCAACCCTGTACTGCACTTCACGTGTCTCGACGCTGCAATCGCCATCAAGCCTGTCTTTGACAGATTCAGCTCCGTCATCATCACGTCGGGAACAATTTCACCCCTCGAAATGTATCCAAAGATGCTGGGATTCTCAACCGTTGTGCAAGAGTCATACAGCATGACCTTGGCCAGGAGATCATTCCTGCCAATGATTGTCACTCGTGGAAGCGACCAATCTTCCATTTCCACCAGTTTCCAGGTCAGGAACGAGCCGAGCGTTGTTCGAAACTACGGCACCCTCCTCACCGAATTCGCCAAAATCACGCCCGACGGTATGGTTGTCTTCTTCCCCTCGTATTTGTACATGGAGTCCATCATCAGCATGTGGCAGGGCATGAACATCCTCGAAGAAGTCTGGAAGTACAAACTTATCCTGGTCGAGACACCAGACGCACAGGAAACATCGCTCGCGCTAGAGACTTACAGGACAGCCTGCTGCAACGGCCGCGGCGCCGTACTGCTCTGTGTTGCCCGAGGCAAGGTCTCGGAGGGTATTGATTTTGACCACCAATACGGTCGGACCGTGTTGTGTATAGGCGTGCCGTTCCAGTACACGGAGTCTCGTATCCTCAAGGCCCGTCTCGAATTTCTGCGCGAAACGTATCGTATCCGCGAGAACGACTTCCTGTCCTTTGACGCCATGCGCCACGCCGCGCAGTGTCTCGGTCGAGTCCTGAGAGGTAAGGACGACTACGGCATCATGGTCCTCGCGGACCGCAGATTCCAGAAGAAGCGGACACAGCTGCCCAAGTGGATCAATCAGGGCCTGCTCGATGCCGACACAAACGTCAGCACGGACATGGCTGTTAGTAGTGCCCGGCGTTTCCTGAAGCAGATGGCACAGCCGTTCCGAGCAAAAGACCAGGAAGGCGTGAGCACCTGGAGTTACGAGGACTTGATGAGGCACAAGGAGAAGATGGACATGGAGCGAATCCAGGAGCTTGAGGAGGTTGGCGCTGGTGGAGATGGCTACGGTGTTGACGGGGCAGACGAGTATGGCATAGACGACGACCTTGACCACGACTTGATGGAGATTGACGACGGGTTTTGAGGTCCTCGTGCCAAGGATCAACCCATCAGGGAAGTTTGCGTTTCGCGCCAGTACTGTACTGGCGCGGAACGCAGGGTGTTATACGGTCGCCACACTTATTCACTTGTGTCATGCGGAAGAAAACATTAAACCCTGCGAGATGGGGAAAATATGACCTGGGATTCCACTTCAAGCTGTACCAACTTCTTATATGGTCTTCCTTTATTACTCGATCCAAACAAAGCTATTAATAAAATTAAAGGAGCATACATCGAAGCTCAAAGGCCGTCTATCTCGACAAGCATAATTCTCGTCATCTATGTATGTCCAGCTATCTTACAGATTATCTGGGCTTTCTATGAACCTTTACCCAAGCGGCTTCTTGGCCGCCTTCTGCGCTCTCATAGCGGGGATCGTATTCCCCCTGCCGGGCTTCCTGCCGATTTCCATGCATAGCATTCGAATGAAGTCCTGGCTTGTCCAGTAGCAAGTATGTGCACTTAGCATGTTGAGGTATTGAATTTCTAAAGGCCCACCGCCGAACCTGAGGTAGTAGTCAATCTGGCCATTGTCATTGAGGAGATATGCCTTTCGCTCAGCAATCTCCTCTCGCGTGAAGTCGTGAACCTCGAGCTCCAGCTGCGAAGGCAGGCGCGCAAAGTTCGGCTTTGGGGCGGAAGGAGGGGCAATGGTGGCTGGGGTAGGTACTGCGCCAGGCACAAGACTTTTCACTGCATTGCCAACGTATCTGAAAAGGGAGGTAGCGCTGGACGGCACATGCGCTGTTCTCAGACAGGTTGCATACGCCGGATCGATGGTGCCATTCAGGAGGTACGCAATGGGATCCTCTTTGGCCAGTACGTTAAATATGTTGTCCACGGCGATGCAACCATAGCGACCGGCCTCACCCGTTACCTCCGGCGCGTTTATGTCCGCGGGATCAGCTCCAGGCTTCACCCTACCACGCCGGGGTAGAAGCATGCCTCTCTCTAAAAGAAGGAAGAAACCTGCCGGGCTTCCGACCAAAAACAGATTGTTCGTGTCGAATTCGAAGAAGTCTGGCATTGGCATTCTCGCCGAGAGATCTAGTGCCGGAACACGGGCGGGTTGTCGAGAAAGAATCTCGATAGCCATGGCACTGCCTAGAGAATGTCCAATGAGGTGAGTGCGGCCTCTGTCTGCGAACCCGGGGTTGTTCCGGCACCAAAGGCGATAAACACGGTTAGCCTCCGTCACCAGCGCATTGATCATCTTGCTCTTGTGATGAGAGAGATAGAACGGTATGTCGAACATGACATCCGATATCATGCTCCTGACTGCGGGGATGCTGCCGGGCTCGATATCTTTGAGGCTGAATCCGTCTGGCACGTGCTGTGCTTTGTCTTCCTCTGTCATTGGACCGCCTTCCCCGAATGAGAGAGTATGCCGCCAGTTAATAGGGAGCACCATGATACCGTTCTGGCCCTCTCTCAACACCCCCTTCACAACTGGGTTCGCCAACTCCATATTGACGTCACGCCGGAATGCGTTAATAGCGTGGGTGAAGTGGAAGCTTTCCACTCGCTCCGCAAACTTCTGACCGATCCCATGAACCACCAAGACAAGGTCGGTAACTTGGCCACGCTCTTTTTCGGCCTTGCATGCCGGGCAGACGTCGTGTCCAACTGCCTGGGGCGCATTGCTGGCGGAGGAAGCCGATTTATTGGTAGGTTCTCGACGTCCATCCTTGTCGTGTGTACGCTCCCAGACCGCGCGATCGAAGCCACGTACAACCGGAATGCCAACGGTCATCCCCTTCATTACTTTCGCAACAGGCCTTCTGCCGTAGTAGGCCGAAGGCTTGAGGCTAGGTTTTAAGAGGAAGGCCTTGGAGGCATCTTTGTAGATAACGTGGTAGGTTGCGTAACTCCGATGAGGTTGCGCAGCTGAGACGGCCTTCAAAGTTGGATCGATAGCTCCCTCTGCTGCCGCTTCTCCGCGGAAGCAGCTTGCGGCACAATACGGATCTGATGAGATACGAGTGTCCGAAATCGTCTGCGTGTCTCCGTCGCTGGGATAGTTTACGTCCTCTGGCCATAGTCGATGGGAGACTTTCTCCTCGCCAAGGGGCCCAACGTCAACGGCGCAACGAAGCTCATCATTCCATGTCTCGGTGTGAGGCTTGAGCTCTCGGAAGCCAGCCTCTAATTGATTCGCCACAGCTGGGGGTATGGGTAGCATCGTATCTCTGCCGGTCTGTCAGAGCCTTGAACACATTAGAAAGTTGATAAACGAACCTGTAGAACCAGGTAGCACGGAGGACCATCGCAATGTCGTTCACAGGGGACCAGTAAATAGGCTTCATTTGTAGAGCCGGGAGGGACACCATATGCAACCGGGAAATACCGACGACAACGTCGACAGCCTCCCTTCTGTAGCTTTCATCACTGAAAACCTTGGCTTGCGTGGTGTTTGCCCTTGTTCTGGGCGAATCTGGCATAGTGTACGACCGCCTTACATCTTGAGACTCAGTGTCATTCGATTTCGACTGCTCCAAAGGAGGGAACGATGTCGCAAGCGCGTCCTGGGGTCGCTGCCGAAGTCCAGCACGAACAAATGGCTTGCCAGAGATACCATCGTCCGCAGGATGCTGCCGGAACGAAGTGCCCAGACCCGGCGTTGAGGGCCGCGACGTTTGCTCGCTTGTCCGAGAATCAGATCTGGCTCTAGATTGAGACTCTACCCCTGTGTTGCCAGCCTCTTTCCCAATTCTCTGCAGTTCGCTTGCAGCTTCCTGCCGAGGACTAAATGATCCGATGATTCCCATTTGCCGTGAACGAGCCGAGTTCGCCCGAGGCCGGGAAGAAGAGACACTCCCAAACTGGGAACGGGGTTCGCTTGATGCAACAAGACCCCTCAGTTCCATCATGACTTCTTGTACGACTTTCTCCTGTCCAAGCGAAGGGCGGTGTTTCCTAGCCAGCGCACAAAATGTATTTTGTAGCTCGGTAGACACATCGATGAACAACTCCGGGCAACATGTAGATATCGGGGTGTCCGGAAGCAGGTCCGAAGCTTCGCCAGCGGTGGTCGATGCTTGAATGAAACCGCCGTGCTTTTGGAGGTGTTTGATAGCCAAGTGGCGCACTAGAAGACCCAGTTTGTGCGCATTAGCTTTCTCAGTGACTGGACTTAGTTTTCTGTCTCGAATCAACTGCTCATGAGCTTGAATATCGTCGCCAGATAGGAAGCTAAGCCATGCCTTCTCGAGAGCATTATTGTCACCGAGCGAGAAAGGACGAATCGGGCCACGAGTGGTTCGAGCATCAGAGACACCGGCGATTGTTCCTGGAGATAGAGGGTCGTCTATCGGTATTATTGAAGAATAGAAAAACTGTGCAGCCACCGGAGGTATGCCATCGTACGCACCTGCCGGTAATGGCTGTGGCACCGGGGCAAGGCGGCATTTAGGGCCGTAGGTATGCTCTTGCTGTAAAGAGGCCATAGTGTCCGGTTGTTGTTATATAGAAAATGGCTAACTACGCTGTGGCCACCAAGTTCAGCGTTAATATCTTGGGGGAATACCGCATGTATCCCGGAAACAAGTGCGGCAGGTTGGGCGTCGCATTCAAAAGCGTCGTGTACTATCGTGAGTGGCCGTCGATGAGCCTGCGGAGCGCCATGGACTTTGGCATGGTTGAGGCAGTGATCTTTAAATGTCTCGATAGCCAAGGAAGATGCGTATCATCTGAAAGAGGCAGAACTTTGGCAGCATAGAAGGCAAGTTAGTTTTCCATCAGGCGGAACTGTGCAACGAATGCAGCCGTAAAGGAGGCGATGCAGTCGACAGCTTACTAGTTGGCTCAGTGGTGGGTGACCTAGGAAGTCCGTAGAAGAGCTGCTAGGAAGACCGAGCTTCCGGAAGAGGTATATAGCTTCGGGAGGAAAGCAAAGTGTGGTCGATGAAGCTCGTAAGACTAGGCGGAAGCCACCGCTTTCGATTGCGCGCCTTAGCAGGATGGAAAGTCGGGACAAGGTCACAGGTAGCATGAGGTTGTTAGCTCAGGAACCGGCGGGAATGGTGGTGCCTAATCCTCTTGGCCCGTACACTGTTGCCTCGGGTTGACTTACCTTTCGCCTTACCTTAGTAAGGCGAAAGCATGTGGTTCATTCCCAGCAGATTCGGCCGTTAGTGTTTTGTTGTCGTGCGTCTCAATGACGTAAGATGGCTGGCTGATACATCTTATCTCGCGTTGTCTTAGGTAATCATATAGGGCACCAGCCACACGAGGCACATGGATGATGGCTGGTCATCGGTTCCGCCCCCTCGGCAGGTCCTGCTCCAATGTCAATGCCACGGCAGCAGAACACGACTCTTCAGCCATTCTTCATTGGGGTACTTTGAGAGCACCGACAGCTTTGAGACCGGTGTTACAGAGGGCTCTTAGTATCTATCGCTGTTGATACTGCCAACTCCAGCTTTCACGGTAACCAGCCTGGTGATTCTGGAACTCGCAAGTGCTAACTGAACCCAGTCTGGGTAGGGACTGGGTCGGACAACTATACTGGATGCTTCGAAATGTTTCAAAAGCCCGCTGTTCTAGAGTATGTTGGGAAGTGTCGAGGACTCGTGCATTGCGGGCGAAAAACTATCTAATGCGGAGAAGGCATTTTGGTCTCCTGCAGCAAGTTGAAAAAGGCACCGGGGATTGTCACATTGTTCGATACTGAGATGTAATCAGTGCGGAGATGCGAACGAGTGCAGTCCCGGCCTTGCTTGCTAGGTCCTATGAAAAATCCACCACGACATCGTGATGTGGAGTCTCTCATGATAAACTGAGGGTCCAGCGGGAACTTTTAGACATGCATTCGTTCCGGGAATCTGCGGCGAGGGAGATGTTCTGCCTTGTTTCATCCATCTCATCTTAGCCCGCCTAACCCTTGCGTCTGACGTTGGAAAGGTTCAGTCAGGTCAAAGATGCCGACATGAAGCCCCTGACGGTTGTCACACTACAGGTACAGGAGTATTCATATACTAGGTATCCGTATGTCAGAGCTGGCACTTTGTGTTTTGAGGAAGAAATGGAGACGTGCGATAGGGTTCTGATGATCAAATGCAACGGGCCGGAATGGGAATGGCCCCGGCCCCGCGGATGAGCCGGTCAGTGGAGATGATGAGACTCCCGGCCTTCTGCTTGGTAGACTCAGACTACATTGTAAGGCGCGCACAAGGAGGCTTCGATGGAACGAGACTCCCGATCGTTATGGCGATAGCACCGTAGGTAGGTGCCTTGACCACGAGATGTCTTTTTCTTTCTCTCACTGATTGAAAACAGCGGTCTTGAGTGGCTTTGGCGCAGAAGCAGTAGACACAGATGCAGATGCGCCCACCATCTCAAGTCTTTTGTTGCCACTCGACGTGTTTCAAGAAAGGCCAGCAGGCAAGGATGTCGCGAAATACAAACAACATCATGCCGGTGAACCCTCTACTAGGTATGTACGTATCGTGCAACCCCACCTGAATCGCGACCACCTCGCAGCAGTCCCAATTCAATGGCCGTTTGATGTAGTGGGGTGGAGCCCGGGAGAGCATCCCATCAGACTAGCATACGAATACCTTGTGTGCCAATACCTCACTCAGGACCGAGATATCGTGTCAGCCAGCCGTGAAGTCCAGGTCACCTGGTCTGCATAGTTACCGACTGACACAACGCGCAGACATAGACATATTACCCGTGATGCCCAGAGGGTCCTGAGTGCTAGACTGACAGATGGAGAAGGGAAGAACAAAAGGCAAAATCATGTCATCGGCGTCCTCAATGGCATCCAATGCTCTCACCGTGTCTGTTTGATGTGTGGCGGGTGCGGTGGCACTCAATCCGTCCATTCTCAATGGCTGAGACTGGCGCTACGACCACATGGATGCCACTGGGTGCAGCAGCCGTGCAGTAGCGCCATGCGCCTTCTCCACCTGGAATGTGACATCCCCGCCCGTCCCCACCCCCGATTTCCTGGGTCCAACCAAGGTCCCAGGCAGGAAGGTCTTGCTGTCTAGACTCTAGACCCCTTCAGCGTTGGTTCACCAATTGACCTTGTTTACTGTGTATGTGTAAGTACCTAGTTGCTAGTGTCTCCCCGGCACGGTTGTTCTCTTTGATCACGATCACGTGGATGGATGGACGAAGCACCAGACGCCGCGTCCAATCCCTTAGCAAAAGATATAATCCCAAGTTGCATTGGTCCCCGAGCCTCCCGTTGTCGTTCTTTCCCGACGGATTGTCGGTATGGAGCCTAAGCTGGTATGATCCTGCGTTGTTGCCTTGGAAAACAACTCTCGCTCCCATCAATTGAGGATTGGACGCCTTCAAGGCCTAGACCAGATCGACAAAAGACATATCTACCTTGCCTTACTTAGAACGTGAGGGGTAAAAGTTCCGGGGTCCAACAGCGCGCCTCGCCAGGGAAATTGGTCTTCATAGAAAGGCACCTGATCAAAACACTTGAGTTACGAACACAACTTACCAAAGTTTGGTGGATCGGCCGCTTCATTTGAGCCTGCAATCAAAGAAATGATGAATAAAATGATGATGAACAACTATCTGGCATCGACGTTGGCCGTACAGTATATTGGTGGGGCGTGCCTGCCGACAAAGGTGCCTGTCTACCCAGAAGCTACCTGAGGTATCTTAGCTTGCTTGTAAGTGGTGTCGGCGCTAATTTGCATTGCTGAAGCCCTCTGCGGCCGTGCTCCAAGCCAAGTAAACGCTGCCCACCATGCAGTCCCTCCCCGTCCCCCCCTCCATATTCCGCTCCAACCCCCTTTCCATGGCGACCTACTACATGTCTTCCAGGCTCCTTGATTGGACGAAGCGAGGTGCCATGGAAAAAGGCTTGGGCGCGGGCGCGGGCTTGATGGGCATGGTCCCGCATGTTGGAGAGAGCTATCTGCCCATCTCCTCGAAATACCTAGGTAGTGAGGTTTCCAGGTCGCTACTCGCCGGCAATGTACCTTACGTGTCACCACTCCTTTTAGCCATGGTAGCTTAGCACGCAACCAAAACCTTCATTACCTCAGTGTATTCCTGTGCTTTTCACTCGCGTGTGCGTCTGCTTCTTTCCTCTCCTGCCGGCAATCCTGCAACACTTCTTCTCTAACGCCTCGCTCGCCTGTTGCTCGCTGCCTCCTCTCTCACCATCATCAAGATATTCCTCATCCACTAAGGTACTGGGGCTTGTTCATTTCCCCCTTGTACTGGCAGCCTCAACATTGGTCCACGATACTCGAGCGACTGACGCTCAGGATCAAAGATTCGTTGGTATCATCTACGAATACCTTGGCCGCCAGAAACAACCTGGCAGAGACGGGAGGCACTTCCGCACCAGCTTATCACGAACCGGCGCTACTGTATTTCGCTGGTGCCGGCACGCACCTACCCAGTACAAAACCTGAGCCGAACTGGAGCTACCCTGCTGCTTGGTTGCTTTTGGGGCACGCGCGATAAGGATCGACCATCACCCCAACCAGTCGATCCAAAGACCAGTCGAGTTACTTAGTTCGAGTGCGTATCTCCTCTGTCTCCTCCCTCTGGCTCTCTCTCCCTCTCCGCTCTCCCCACCTGGTCTGTCCCCTTGTCCCCGTGCTCCCACGCCCGTCTAATTAGTACCCCAACCGACTACAGTGACAAGCATCCCTCTTCGTTCTTTCTTCCAACATATCTCGGACTCAGATCAATCAGACCGACGAGTTGAGTGCCTCTCTCCTGCTTATGGACCTGCGACATCTTCCTATTTCGTCTCTCTGTTACATCTTTTTCAAGCTCTACGTCTAACATATTCCGGTTGGATTGCAGCTATTACCACCCCGGCACAGGAGATACTCCCTTTTTCTACCCGTGGGTTTAGGCCTTGGTTGCAGCTGCACCGCCGTTTCAACTCAACCCCGACCATTCGCAAACAACCGGCACACGGCGTCAATTGCGATTAACATTCGGTCGAAGGAAATCAAGTGAAGGAGAGAGAGGGAGAGAGAAAGAGAGAGAGAAAGAAACACAATTTACACCATGGCTACAATCGCCCTTCCGAGACCCATTCCCCCGCACCGCCCAACGTCGACGGTGGGATCCGTTCCAACCATAGCGCTCGAGTCCATTGGCACTGCCCAGGTGCCTGTACCAAACAAGCATCTTCCAGTTTGCCCCCCCGGTCCCGTTCCCGCCGAGGAGCCCAATACTCCTCCTCCGTCGCCTCCTCGCGATGATGAACTGATACAGCAGACTTCGTTGTTGCACCCACCCGATGACTTCTCCAAATTTGAGTCGGGCCCGGCCACCGTTTATACTGTCAGCCCCGCCGATGTGGCTGCTGCCGTCGACTACATCTCCCGTCAACCATTACCAGATCCGAACCAAGTATTCCCGTGGTTCCACGGTCTCCACCCCCACAATCATATCCAGCAAGCTTTCTTCATCGCTCGTCACCGTTCACTCCGTAAAACGCCTACCTGTGTTCGGGGGGCCACGCTCATTAAAGCGGACGGTGATCTGAGCGTCGCTCGACTCAAAGGTGCTATTGCCCCGCAAGAACTCGTCAATCCCGCTTCCGCTGCCCCCGAGTTTCTCGACGTCGACCCCCGCGATGGCTTTTGCGTGAGGAACTTCCAGATCCAGGCAGCTAAAGCCGCCATGGTTTCGGACATTATTGTGTACGGCGAAGATGATACGACTGTTCGCAAAGTGAGTCTCGACATTGCGACGGCACAGCTTCGTTGGCGACAGAGACACGAGGCACAAGGCCACTCCGTTCCCGAATACAACACATTCATGTGTTGTTCGCCATTCAACGACTTTGAAAATAATCATGAGGAGATTGTTGCTGTAGATGCCCGGGGTCATCTAACTGGCAATGTACTCGACTTTTTCCATCAGGAGCGAAAGGAGATGTATAGTATGACTAGAGCGTCGGAAATCTCCCACAATGTCTGGCTTGGCCCAACACCAGAGCCTACTTCAGCGGAGGACGAACAGTTCGATGTCTTGATCGAATGTAGTGATGTTGGCCGGCTTAACCCTTCAGCACTGCGGGCCTTGGCTGAGTCTCGGGTTGAGCCTGCTCAAAGACCCTACATTGACTTCCCTTCCTCTGGAAGCATCTTACCGCCCACATGGTCACAGGCCGAAGCTGATGGCATTCTGGAAACTTGCAAGTGGATATATCACTTAGCCTATGGCACGCTCCCTGTCACACACAAAACCGAAATCGATGCGGACGGCGACACCGATATGAATGGGCAGAACTCGTCGCCAGTTGTTAATTTGAGAGAGAGGAAAGTCCTCATTCACTGTGCCGATGGATACACCGAGTCTACCATGCTCGGAATCGCGTATTTCAGCTACAGCACTGGGAGAGGCATTGCCGATGCCTGGCTGGACTTGCACACCATCAAGAAGCGGAATTTCTTCGCCTATCCTACAGATGTTGCTCTCCTTACATGTATCGAGGCCCGGTTACTCCATGAGTCGCCTGTTCACTCGGGTAAGGGCCTTGGCGAAATCACAGCATTGATAAAAGAACCAGCATGGCTTCCCGGTCTCGATGGATCACTCCCCAGCAGAGTCCTCGACTATATGTACCTCGGCAACTTATGTCACGCGAACAACCCCGACCTTTTGAGGGCTATGGGAATAAGCCAAATTCTGAGTGTAGGGGAGACTTCGATGTGGAGGGAAGGCGAGCTCGAGGAATGGGGCCCCGAAAATGTTTGTATTGTACAGGGAGTTCAGGATAACGGAATTGACCCTTTGACGGATGAATTCGAGAGATGCCTCGATTTTATTGGTAAGTCGTTACCCCTTGATCTCTACGAACGTCGAAATAGTACTTACTCTTTTTGCGTCAGAACGTGGACGGCGCAACGGAACAGCCACACTGGTACACTGCCGCGTCGGTGTGTCACGCAGTGCAACCATTTGTATCGCTGAAGTAATGCGGTCGTTGGGTCTATCGTTTCCCCAAGCATACTGCTTCGTCCGGGCTCGCAGGCTCAATGTCATCATCCAACCACACCTTCGCTTCGCGTATGAGCTTCTCAAATGGGAAGAACTCAACCAGGTGAAGAAGAAGGGCTCTTCGAGGGTCAAGAGGGAACTTGAATGGGGGGAAATCGCCAGAGAGATTGCCCTGATGAACCGTCCTTACGCCAGATAAACCCGATCTTCGACTTTCTCGACTAGGCGACGTGCCACGGACTCCATTTCACGTCGGCTCAAGGCCCATAACTCTTGTTTCAACGCCCACGTGGATCGTAGGACTTTCTTTAATAATACTTTTGTACCGGTGTTGGATACATCAGGGACGGCTAGACGGGCGCAATTCCGACGCCCGGTTGATAACTGTTCAGTTCTGATCGCATCTTCAAAGGTCAAGCTTCATGTGGAATGATCTGTGCGGAAATATGAATGATGGAATGGCGCTCCGGTATTATCTTCTGTAGTAGGGTTTTTGGGATACTTTGGGGGAAAGTCTGGCGCATGGTATCAATGGCTGGATTTCGGCTGGCTTGAGTTTTACTTGATCTTGTCTCTTTTAGTGGGGGAGGTGGCGGGGGCCTCCTCAGACTCTTAATCTACACAATCTTTTGAGAAGAGGAATACTTGAATTCCGAGCCATGGTTGAATGGCAACAAGTGACGATGAAAGCACTTTGTAGTGGGCGAGGAGAGGAACAACGTGCCACTCTACCTAGGATCATCCTCCTCCTTGCACATACATGGTGCTGTGAGGCTGGCTGTTGATACAACCAAAGTTGTCGTTGACGAGCCATGTTTCTGACTAGATTTTAACAATGCTCTTCCTAATGGGGAATTCCTAGCCTAGTAATGATCTAAAGTGAATTTCCTGCGCAGTAGGTCATAGGTGCTTCAACCCAACGCTGCAGGCCATCACAGTCCACAGTTCTCATTCAGGCCGTTGGTTGTGTTGCTGTCACGCAAGAGCGGAACATATACGCTCTTCTCCGTAGCAGTCAGCAGTTTTGCAAGCAAGATGCTCCATATTATTTAGGTCAAGCATGTAAGGTCCTGTAACCTTCCCATGGACGATGCTGCCTTCCTTCTTTAGGGACAGACCAAAATAAGAAGAGGTAGAAGAAGATGAACAGAGAAAGTCGCCGGACGCCTCCTGATGCAGAGTTGGCCCCCAATCATCCCCTCGAACAGGACCCAATATCCATCACCATCCATCATCCCACAATTTTCATATCTCACTTCATCTGCAGGCAGCACTCTACGTGCCGTATGAGGACGCGTCCAACTTGTCGTCGCCATCAATGACTCTGCCAAAGCCGTTTTTTTTTAGTTCTCTGGTACACAAATTTACAATGACAAATGAGGGTTTGATGCTGCAATGACTTACGAGAATTGCTTGACCAGGTAGCCCTCTCCGCCATGCTCCATGTCAATGTTGTACACATAAAAGCCACCGTCACTGGTGACAACCATTACCTGGGGACTGCTGCTGCTCATGGCCACAACACTTCGTAGCGGGCCACTCAGCGGTTGCGAACCGCTCGCGTTGCTGTTCCCACGGGTTTGCCCCGGTGGTGAATTGGAAGACTTTGGTATCTTGATGTACGCGAAGTCTCTCAGGGGCTCCCACATCTCCGTCACCGTCTGCGGCAAGTATGAGCCTACGACACCGGCCACGCTGCGACCCATAATCTGCGACGAGCGCCGGAGCATGCTACTAAAAGAGCCACTTTGCCGCCTGTTGATTTGTTGTTGAGTGTGAGAGGACGCGCCGTTGCCTAGTCCGGCGGGCTCTGCTAGGTCGCTTCGTGGAGAACCAGCCGCACTTCCCAGGGGCGACTCATTGGCGCTGTCATAGCTACGCGACCTCGACCAGCGATCCTGGCGAGGGGAAGCAGTTGTCTCTGCTGCGGCGGCGGCGGAATTGTTGCCTGGAGGAGGGGCTCCGAGACGGAAGATGTGGACAGTGTCGGAAGTCGAGGAAACGCAGAGGAGGGTAGAGCTGAGGTTGAAAGACATGCTGTAAATGGTGGAAGGGTATGTCCCCCGGCGGAACTGATACAGTTTTTGGCCTCCAGGGACTGAGAAGACGCGGATAATGGTGCCAGTCTCGCTTGCCGTGGCCAAAAGCGTTCCTTCACTATTGAGGCATATGCAGCATAGTGGCGACCGATGAGCCTCAATAACATTGACAGCCTTCAACGTGAGCGTGTCGAAAACCAAGACCTCCCCCGATGTCGGTGCGACATATGTTGAGAGAGGCGGCGCATGAGCAGGTCTTTTGTCTCCCGTGTCCTCCCGAGGTTTCGGTAAAGGGTACGCAATGTAGCAATTCTCTGAAGAGGGTGATAGAGCGCAAATTGCGCCTGGGTTGGGAGAGGTGGGTATGGTGAACAGAAGGCTCATGTTGGAAATGTCATATAAGTAGATTTCGGATTCGAGGACGACGGCAAGTCGTTTACGATTGAGACGCACGGCGAGCACGGCGGAGGGAAAGGTGAGTTCGCAAATGACTGAGGATCTCTAGTTGTCGTCAGCATAGGTTCATAATCCAGCATGTACAGTTCCTAGCATGTGGGTAGCACTAACCTTCGTGTTCTGTATTATTAAGTGTCGCGGAGAGAGAATTAGGGCGACAAGAGAGGTTGAGAACAGCATCTCAATGATGGCGATATTTCCATCGTCACTGCTGAAGATTTTGGAGAACGGGTCGGTGTGATAAATTCGGAAGCCCTTGGAAGTACCTATGAAAGTGTGAGGCAGGCCAATTAGTGAAAGAAACTTGGGAAACGTTGTCTGGGCCGAAGAAAGCAGATGCGAAGGGATCTCGTACCGACGGCCAGACAGCTGTGGTCCTGGTTGAAGGTAATGAAGTTTAGGGCGGTGCTCGCCATGGTGCACTCCTCGTATCACGATCTCGATATGGGTAGCGATTCTGGAACAGCGGAGGTTCTGTAACGCCCGGGCAGCGCCGGCGTTCGACGAAAACCGCGCAACCTAAGGTGTCTGTTCACACTATGGGCAGGTTCTGCGGTTCAGGTATTCGCGATACTATATGCGTCGCGATACGTGCCAGTCGAGGCTTCGCACAGGCAGCAGGATCTCGGGACCAGCGGCGCAACCAGTCGAAGTGTCAGTAGTGGCGGTTTGAGGGTAACGCAGAGGGTAAGATCGCGAGTAGAATTTGGCAATAGGCGGCGTTAACGAGATACGAGGTGCATTTCCGCATGTGCTCGAGAAGAAGAGGGTCGTTGGTTGGACCAAGGTAGGACGCAGCGGCTCGGCGACGGGTGGCGGCTTTCAGCTGCCAGCGAGTCCGGAAGGATGCTTGAGGTCTCGAGGTTGGGCGATGTTCCGTGCGAGGGCAACTAGGACTAGAGTGCAGTTGAACACTCGAAGGAGTGCTATGCAATATGGCGGCAGCGCAGAAGCAGAAGTAAGCTAAGGTGTGGGAGATGCGCGTTGCGGTCAGGCAAGGTGAGAGAGGTCGGGCAAGGAAGGTCGATGTTGGCGTGAGGTCGCTTGTGGAAGCAGATCTAGGCGGGACGGCTCACAACGTAATATGAATGGAGGAGGCACCTTGATCCCAATCCCGTGGGGGGCGGCGGGGAAGCTATGTAATCCCATGGTCCTAGCGCCTTAGCAGAGCGCACCACTCCGTACGGCTACCTTACCTAACATGAGATGTACGACTACCCAAGGTAGGTGCTCAAGCACTGCACCTCAGTTGAGGAAGGTGTGCGCACTACCTTATCGTAGGTGCCTGTAAATTAGGTAAGAAGGGGCCTTCCCACGCCTTGCCTCCCAGAGAACCTAGGCGCTCTCAGCGAGGTTCCTGGATAGTCATCTACCTACTTACTTTAGAGCACGGATAGAGAGACCATTTACTTAGGTACATACGGATAGCGAAGGAGAGCTAACTGTCCGCGTGCGGCCGAAGTGGCTGGACACGTGTGGCTTAAGCTATAGGCAACGCCGGTGGACCAGCTTGCAATCACCTTACTACGACAAGGAACGGGAGCTCGTGACAGGTGATTGATTTGGTCGACACCCGCATGAGGTGGATATTTGTGCCTTGTACGGAGTAGCTAGGCACCTAAGGTAGAGCTTCCCTACCTCCTAGGACACCTACTAGGTATTACCTACCCGGGATGGGGGGGGTTTCAAAAGGGGTCCATGCCCATACCCAAGTTATGTAGAGTGGTGAGGTCTTATCCTTTTCCTTATATAATAATAAAATATATAAAAATTATAAAATAATTTTTAAAGTTACGAATTATTAATTTTTAAATAATATTTTATATTTATTTTGAATAAGTTGATTTTAAATATAAAGAAATAGAAGGAAAGAGGAATAATGTCTTTAGGTTATACTATTTACACATCGTGTTCTAGATCCCACCTGCTCCGGTAAGTGCTTATGACCCCTAAGATCACTAAGCGTACATCCTCTCCGGGCACCGCTGAACCCCCCCCCCCCCCCCCCCCCCCCGCCCCCCCCCCCCGGGTCCCCCCCCCCCCCGCCCCGTGCGTGCTCGTCCGCCACCCGAACCCCAAACCACCCACCTCCTCCCGCCCCGCCGGGACCCCCCCCCCCCCCGGCCGCATAGGTACCTCAAGTACGAAGTGTCTACCTAGGTACCTTACCTACCGACGAGTCCTGATAAGATAGGATATCCATCCTGACAGAATAAGGTATGTACCTTACCTTACACAGGCAACGATGACACGAAATCACCGAGTCTGAGTGGAAATACTTCATTATCGGGCTCGGGTTCAAATATCTCTGTTGAACAGTTTTTTTTTTTTTAAAAAAAAAAAACCCGTCTTTGGCATTTTTTGACGATGCTCTAGAAGTGCAGTGCCAAGGAACGTGATTTTGCCGCCTTTATCCCGCAATGGGGGTTCAGAAGGTCGGAGCCCCGTTGTTTGGCGCCTTTTACTACGGAGAGGACTTTCCGCAAATTTCAGTCTCTGAGATAGAAAAAAACTTGGCGTGGCCACAACCGAGAATTTTACGGTTATCATAAGGTATAGCCCACGACACGAAACAGATTTCGACTAAGCGCAAGCTTCGTTGTAATCGGTCCAAGATGGCTCCTTCCGCCCAAAATGTTCGAAAAACTCGGGCTTCAGACGACTTGATTATGGCCGTGAGTCAATTGATTCTCAATCCCCTTCTTCATTCTCATACAACTGCCGCCGTCACTCACACCCCTGTCTTATAGACAAACAACAGCTCCATAGTCTCAAAACGCAGTGTCGTGAGTCTCACTACCGCCCACTTGGCTGAAATGGCAAGTCTGAAACTTCATCCAAGGAACATCTTTACTACCCTGACGAACCTCACTACTTTCGGTTTTTTGTCAAAAAGTTCCGGAGAAGGGCGCCTCTCGTCAATAGAGGTTACCACCTGAGACTTAAAGTCATCGATACTCTAGTTCGCCGATTTCTCGAGAAGCCGTCAACCCGAAAGAAGGTCATCGTTAATCTGGGATGCGGAAGGTAAGGTCCTATTCGTTACCTTGCATGTTCCCCGGGCCGTTGCAAATTTAACGCTCCGTGATAGCGACGTTCTGCCGTGGCAGTGCCAAGTGCGCTACCCCGACTCATGTCGAGATGTTACTTTCCTTGACGTCGACTACCCAGATCTCATCCAGAAGAAGCGGCAGATAGTACTCGAGACTCCCGAGTTGCAAGATCTGATGGGTGCTTGGGAGGTAAATGACGATTCCCCAATCGTCCTCAAGAGCCAGAAGTACTGCCAAGTGGAATGTGATCTTCGGCAGCTCTCAGTCTTGCAGAGCTGCCTTGAAGCGCTCTTTGACGTGCCAAAAACCGACTTTATGTTCGTGGCTGAAGTTTCCATCACTTACATGGATACGGAAGGTGCGAATGGAGTCATCGAGTGGGCAGCCACTGTTGGAAATGGTACGGTTGCTATCTTGGACTTATTGATAAACTCTAACCAGATACGTAGCCGAGTTTTGTCTCCTAGAACAAATCCTACCAGATGGGCCAGATCATCCTTTTGCTCTCACGATGCTTGGGCACTTCAACAAGATGAACGCCCCACTCAAATCAGTCCATCGATATCCCACCGTGGCCAGTCAGGAGAAGCGGTTCGAGTCTCTTGGTTGGCCATCAGTTGAGAGTTGGACACTCTGGGAGGCTTGGTCTGACAATCTATTCATGACTGCTGATGAGAGACGAGCCCTCGACGCCGTCGAGCCCTTTGACGAGTTGGAAGAGTTTGCGCTTTTCGCCAGCCATTACTTCGTTATCCTTGCCACAACCCCTCGTTCTGAGGCCCAAGGCCATGTATCCAAGGTCTTTGGAGAAGTCGACATCCAATCTTTTCCCAGTCCGATGGTCATGAGCGCCTACGAGTCTACTCGAGGGCACCGCCGGCTTGGCGCCGCAATGCTCGTCGAGAAGCCCAATAGCCATGGTTTCATCTCCCACAACTTCGGACAGGGGCCAGTTGGACGAATGAACTCTGAGGATCTGTATCAGATATCTAGCCAGCCAGTTTCTCCGACCTTGTCTGTAAAGGTGCCATCTGCCAGGGTGGGCCAGAGCATTACGGACCTGGGAAGCGCTGGTGTTCTTCTGGCGGGTGGTCGCGCGTCCCCGTCAACAGCGTTTAGGGATTGTTGGCTTTTCAACAAGCATCTCGCTGCCTGGGAGCCGACAAAGGATCTCCCGGTCCCCCTCTTTAGACATTCCGTGACTCGACTGGGCTCTTCGCCTCTTGCCCTCCTTGCTGGCGGTAGGAAGAACCATCGTGAGACGTCGGCCGATTACTTCCTGTTCGATCCTGCGGTGGGTTGGAAAAAGTGCGAGGTACAGTCTGCGCCGCCTGCACTGTACAGTACTACGTTTGTCTGTACCGGCGATGTGGGACCTCGAGGTATCACAGGCTTCCTGACTGGAGGCAGCCTTGAGGATAGCGTCATCAACCAGGAAATTTACACTTGGGAACTGGACCTTTCTGAAGCCGAGGTATGAGCCAATACGACTTTTCAAATGATCTGCTCTGCATTCGCTAACGCCCGTTTTCAGCCTGTTCTCTCGTTCCAGCATCGAACTTCAAACGACGGAATAGTGTCCAGCACTTTTGCCAGGCTAGGCTCTATTGTCGTTCAATCGCTCGGGTACACTCTTGTGCTTGGCGGAGTGATTAAAGGGGTGCAGCTGCCATCAACATACGACATCCTCGTTCTCAAAGCGACGCGAAGCGACGTAAATGTGGTAGCCAGGCTTGATGGCACAGACAGCTCCGGTGTGGTGCGCCCTTTTTTGATGGGATCTTCCGTTGTGCTCTATGGAGATGGGAATTTTGCCATTGTTGGTGGTGGCGCAACATGCTACGCGATGGGAACATTCTGGACTCCGGGGAGTTACAGCTTCCGCTTCGATCCAAGCCTTCTACCCCAGCATAGCACAGGGCAAGTAGCCTCACGATCCGAGCCTGTCAAATATGTAGAAACGATTCAGTTCGTAGAGAACGAGAAGACGCCCGTTAATTAGTCTAAGGCCGCAGCACACCTCTTCAATACCACTTTTACCTCTCCGATCCGGCCTCACACTGCCAGTCATGTGATCAATCTGAACACCGTTAAGGACGTCTCCTGTCTGGAGACGTCTTTGACGGAGTCGGGCAGAAGGTATAAGTCTCTATGATTTGGCAAAAATAGGGACTTTGTGGCAATTGAATTTGTTCATTGCATACCTCGACGAATGATCTCAACTTCGTAGCCGTTGGTTCACGGATGAAAGGAGCCTCTTGGCGTCGCTACCAAGACCCTCCTTATTCTCCCTCGCCCTCTCAAGCCCACCTCTTTTGAACCCTCCAGGGACGCAAAGCCATAGTAGTAAAAGAAAGATGAGAAGGGCTAGTACGATGGGCTGTAGCACCTGAACACCTTTGCTCTGGGCGATGGCCCCGATGGCGAATGGGAATATAGCCGCACCTCCGCCGCCAAAGGCAGCGGCAAAGCCAATCACGCCGACATGATAGTCGTTGGGAAGCAGTTTGGTAGCGGTGACGATTACGGCGGGGAAGAGAGGGCCAAGGAAGAAGCCGAGGAATGTGATGAATATAATGGAGGCGACGAAGTTGGGAACTAGCCAGTAGAGCAATTCGAGGGCTAGTGAAATGACGAGGTAGATTGCGATCGCGCGCTTCTCTCCTACGCGCCCCGTTATGAAGCCCAAAATGACTCGGCCTATCGTAAGTCCTAGCCTTATAGAAGACGTGTTAGTGGGGATGATACAGTCAAGGATTAACTTGGAGAGGAAATGAATGTAATTACCAGAACAGCACTACGGTGACGCCAGCCAGAAAGGGCTCGGCATGCCTCACACGGAGCATAAAGGTAACAACCCATCCACCCAGGCTGACTTCTGCTCCGACATAGCACAACAGAAACATAGCCAGAAGCCAAGTGAGCGGTTGACGCAACACGGTTTTCGTCGTCGTTCTCTTCTCGCCCGTCGAAGACTGATGAGTGTCCCTATGTATCTTGCCGGTAGCCCCCCCAAATGCTGTAACGGCGGCGACGAAATTGACCACGGTGACGCCAATCATAACGTAGTAAAAAGAATACCACGGCAGTGTCCTGCCCCGGGTCACCATGGCTGAGGCGACTAGGGGGCCGATGGTCGCGCCCAGGCCATATGCACCATGAAGGAATCCAAGGAGCTCGTTGGCGTTCTGCATATTGCCGACCCAGGCGTTCCAGGCGCTGTCTTCGAGGCCGTTTCCGAAGCCGGCGAAAAGCAAGACGACGGGGAGGACAGGGTAAGGCGGGTGGGTAACGAGAGGGATGTAACCGATCAAGCGGCTGATAGGGCCGAGCACTGCAACGCCTCGCTGGCCGAATTTGTGGTGTATGAGGTTGTTGGATAGGGCTGCCACCAGGTAGCCAATGAACGGTGACAGGAAAAGTAGGGCAACGACGGTATATGTGATACCATAGAACGTTTCAATCTAAACCCGAGTGTCAGGCCTATCAGGCTCAGTTGGAGTTCGAGTGTCTTGTCGACTTACATATGGAATCAGAGCCTGTAGGTAGACGGTCATGAGCATCAAATGATTGAGTATCGCAGAAACTGTGCACTTACGCCGATGGCGGCGTCACTCATGCCCATTATGATGAAGCTCCAACAGGTCACAAGGAAGCGGAAAGTGTTGATGCGGGTTCCATTCCAACGTTCTTTGGTTTCCTCAAAGCTCGTAGCCGCGGGTGTCGTTGTGTCTTCTGCCGCTTCTAGGACAGGCACTGGGACGACTTTTTGGACCATCATGGGCCCTTGCCGGTCTGACGGGTTACCGCGAAGCTCCTTTTGGACGCAGAGCAAAGACAAAAGGTGAATCTATAAAGTGCTCAGGGAAATTGATCTATAAATTATTGCGTTTATGATTTAGACAGACTGCGGTTCGGTATTACAGGGTGCGTGAAACATCACGCCTCTTTAAGGTGATAGTGGGGATGGAAATGCAATCATCACGGCCGGTAAAATGCCGGAAACCCTATTACAGAAGGAGCAATGAGAAAGTTGCTCGAGAGGAGCTTCGCCATAACCCTTTGGGAATGGGGCGCCTGGTTGTCCAATGAATTCCGTCACAGTGTTGGGAAACCCGACCTTCTTGTACAGAGATGGTGGGCCTCTCATAGGACCCGGGGAGCTACATACAGCCGATGTTTAGCCAGAGCGGTGCGAACTACCGGGCGGGATACCGGTGATCACGAATAGCGAGGGTGTGTGAGTGTCTTCAGGCGGTCGGCGGTGAGTGGTTCTATGATAAACCCACCTCAGGCAATGGCAGTGATGTCCGGAGAGTGCATCCACTGCGGGGCCGTACCGAAATGCGGGGCTTTCTCCCTCCGATGAGCCGATTCTCGGGGCCTACATAGTATGATGGCTGGCGTTGGATCCGTTCGCCGAGGTATCCTAGTTGAGAAAAGGGGAAGCCAAGTCAGGGCTAGCTGGGAATTCGCCAGCGAAGCTTCGCTATGGTTGACACCCGCGCGGTCGGTGAGGTCTGCCGTGAGTGCCTCGTGGAAAGCCTGCTAATGTTGTGTCGATGTGAAGCTTGGAGGGGAATTGGCCGCCCAAGGAAATGACCAATGGGAAGGCCCGTTGCGTGGTCACACCACCTGAATTAGAAGGAGTGGCGGGGCCATCTTCGGTAGCTGTCCAAATCCACATCGCCGTCTGCTTTCTGAAGTGGTCATTTCCTTCCTGCAACTGGATCATCTCACACCCAGCACCAATCCAACAGACAGGACTCAAGCTATTTCAATCTTTTGTTTGGGATGTGGAGAAACAAGGCGAGGTCGGCCGCCGATGCAGCGAGTGGAGTGATGGCGGATGAGGCTCAACGCGGCAGTTTGGGAAGAGTTCCGGCATTCACGACTCATAGTAATTACCTTGCAGTAGTTAAGCCCACCGCAAGCCAAGCTAATTGATCCCACGTCAGCAACGTTGCGTGTAGTTCTTGCAACATGGTGTCCTGCTCTGGTAGCACATGCTCGGTCACTTCCCATGCGTAAACTTGGGACTTTCCTACCGAGTATCATGTCCTTCTCCCTCCTACTCATCCATCATGCGTGACATCATCGCCCACCCACCTCTCGAATGTTGAAACCCTGCACTTTACACACCGAAAAGGTCAGGGAAACGACATCAGACTACAATGCCTTACCCTGGCGGTAATCTAGAAGAGGAACTGGTGTCTACCCCGCCCGTTTCTCATAGAAAGCAACCAAAAAGACTCGAGGACCTCCATCCTTCATGCGTCCAAGGGGGGCTATGTCGGCCACCCGGGTAGATAAGGTACAACATCCCCAGCCGCCTTCGAATGTGATGGCAGTGGAGCAGTCCATATGCCGTGTTCCAACCGCATGCAGATACTCAACGCTGTGACCTCAACTCTCTCTGATCCCGCGGCCTCCTTCCGCGACTCTTCGACCCAATCTTCGGACCAAGCCTACACAACCTGAAGATTTATTTGACTAGATTCTGAGCTGAGGTATTTTCCGTCACTCCCTCCGAAATCCCAACCCTAGTATTGACACGCAAAGAACGAGTCTTTACATCCACAGCCGCTGCTCTGTGTTGTGTACGACTCCTGCGTTCTGCGCGGCCTTTAGTATAGGAAACTTCTTACCAATCACTGCGTAAAGGGCCCCTGCCATCGCTCCCTCTGTATCTTGCACCCGGAATCCAACTTCTCGCCTTCTCCGCCAGCCTTACGCAGACTCCGTATTGCCTAGCTCGTTAGACCTCCAGGTCTTGACGGTCTGGTCGACTTGCCTCAAACCTCCCAGTCCATCATCATCGCGCCAACACCCCTTCAAAAGTATCAGATCTTGTACGCCACTTTGAAGAGTCATGTCCAGATACTACGAGCACGAAATCCGGGAGGATCGGCCCCGCAGCCCAAGCCATCACCGCCGCGATGACCCACCTCCTATGGTGAGGGAGTACTCCCCCGAGTACTACTCCGGCGGCGGCGCTGGTCCCATACAGGTAGTCTATCCGGACCGAGGCCCCATTCCAATCGCCAACGGCCCTTACGTCTCGGGCGCCATCCCCGTCGATGCTCCTTCAGTGCACCCATACTACGGTCCTGAGTCACCGCTCTCTCCCCGCGACACGAATGCGTTGCAACTCTCGCCCCATCCCCACTATCGCCCACGCTCCCTCCCGCCTCAAGCTTATGCTGTAGGCAGACCACGCTCGCGTTCACGCCCACGAAGCCCCATCGGCAAAGTCCGCCACGCGGTTGACAGCACCTTCACCCAATCATCGTCGGGCATCGGTGTAGGTCTCCTAGGCGCTGTCGTCGGCGGCCTGGCAGCGCGTGAAGTTTCCGATGCCACCGTCCGATCCCGCAACCGCAAGGAGATAGACAACGGCACATACCGCCCGCGCTCGCCCCGCGAGACGGAGAAGGCGCGGGTGATATCTACCGTCGTTGGGGCTCTCGTGGGCGGTCTTGGCGCTAATGCCATTGAGAGACGCTTCGAGGTCGCTCGTGAAAGGGACAGGGAGCAGCAACTCGCTTGGGAGAGGAAGTGGGGGAGGGAGCGCAATCTGCCACACTATGACACGGGAAGAGACCACGACTGGGATAATGGCAGAGGCCGCCTGAGGAACCGGCGTCGTGACGAGTGGAATGACGGATATCCTGACTATGGATACGAAGATCGTCGTGGAAGACTTCGGAGCGAAGAGCGCTATTCATACAGGAACTGAATTCGCCGGGACTACCTTCACAAGCGATATTGGTTGTACATAAACGCGATCTTACGACTTGACGATTTACGAGTTCCTTTCCTAGAATTGATATTCATATGCTTCCCCACTCGTCGTAAACCCATGTCAGAGGCTTTTTTGATGGGAGTTGTCTCGAGAAATCGTCATCGTGAAGCGAGAGCAATTACACCACATGTTGAACGCTGTGCTTGCGGTCTCAATCAAGTCATTCCCGCAACTATGTATCTTAATCTACATAACTCATACGCCATATACTCATCATCTTCTACAGCCACAGGCGCAGGGGCAGGTTCATAATACGTATCCCACGTATCCACTAGCAGCAAGAGCTACGCAATGACAGAATGAAGCATACCAAGCTCGAACAGCCGATACCGAGCAAAGCGCAAAGCTTCAATACTAGCTTATCTGCAGCCACGTCCTCCGTTGCGATTCGTACCGCACATTCTTTGCCCACCAGCTCCCTCTGGCCTCTCATAGAAGTCGTAAACACCTGTTCGGTCGTTACAAGCTATGAAGCATCAATAAGAGACTGAGTATTACTTCTCAGTTGTTGTACCGAAGATTTTCCCTGCCAACATCGTATCCGTCGGGTATCAGGTGAAGACCACCGTAGGGGTCCGCGCCCTCAACCAGTTCCCTGGACGGGACCCATGGACGATCACCCTGGCCGTGTGGCAGCGTTGGCGCAGAGTTTTCGTGGTCTAGCTTCGCTCGGTAAGCCTGCTCCCTCTCCACAATGACCTTGAAGAATTGAGCTATCTCGGCGATGGCTATTTGCTGAGCCTCTGAGCATCCAATGGTGTTGCAGAGAGATTGCGAGTCGACGAGTTGCTTGGCTATAACAGAATCAGGCTGGCAGTAAGTACGAATGCGCAACGATCGTGCGTTTGTTTTCATCGCGTGAAGTAGACCGGCGATTTCCAGTGCATTGCCTTGACGGCGGCCAAAGAACCGAAACTCGTCAATGTGGAGATGAACAAGATCGAGTTGTGTTTCCAGGTCGTAACGGAACCCAACCACTCTTGGGCGGCCCTTCTGCGTCCATCCGTCAGCAATTTTCTTGAGTTTGTCCGGATTGAGACGGCCGTGGTTCAATTCGTTCGTGATGTAGGCATGCAGTGCGTTGCTGATATGGAACTCGAGCTCGCAGTAAAGAAGACTCTGTTCGCGGGGATCGAGAGAGATCGTTACTCTCTGGACTTTCCCCCCCCTCTCCGTATCCCTGGGTTTTCGGGTGGTTTTGCTCTCGGTCTGCCAACCGGTTAGCTACATAACTCAGAATCCGGACTTTAAAGGACAGGGAAACCTACCATTTCCTTGGCAATCTTCTTGAGGTAGTCAAGAAGGCCGGGCTTCTTTGGAGAACTATCCTTTTTCTTGCGGTCGGCATTGTTATCAGGTCGCTCGAGCCATCCTTGCTCGCCAATCAAGGTTTTACCCGCAATTCTCTGTACGGGAAGGTCCTTATAGGCGAAGTAGGGCCGGAGAGGAGAGTATATCTGACTTGCGTCCATGACTGGTTGTTCGAGGGCTTCCAGTCTACTTTTGGGTGGGCCACGGCCTTGCGCACTCCCTCCGCGGCCGCTCGTATCAGAAATAAGCGCTGGGGCCTTTGAATCCATCCTGCCGCCGTACGACTCCAACACGTGCTTAATATGTCGTGGGATGGCGTCCCTGTGGATCCGGAGAGGGCTAGGATGGCCTTCAATCTGAGAGTATATGGAAGATGAGTCTGCTTGGCCGCTGCTGCCAGGGGAAGGATTATCAGGGGTCATAGGCGGACGGACGGACGGCATACCGCCGGCATTCTCCACGATAGCCCCGTATTGACGACTATCTTGGACGTTGACAGGCTTGGGTGCGTGTTGCTGGCGACGCTCGGCGAGACTCGATGCCAGAGAGCCCTTGGCCTTGTGGCCCTTGGGAGGTGAGCTTGGCATCAACTCCGAGAAAGTGGTGGAATCGCATTCGTGGCTTGTCTCGAGGGGTCTCTGGTGGCTGTTGGCGTTTGTGGGAGACCTCTGGTGGTAAGGGACTCCATGACCCCGAGGCAAAGGTTGGGCGCCAGTGAAGTCGATGTCTCGTTCCGGCGACCGGGGCCGACTAAAGTTGTCCACTCGTTCACGGCGAGATGGCGACTCGCTTGCAGCGTTGAACCTGACCACTCGTTAGCCATCACATTGAGACTGCATCTCATCGGAGAGAATCCTCACACATCAGTCAATCTGTCCATCTGGTTTTCAGTTAAATTCAGATTGATCTGAACGGACTTGTTCGGCTTGTGCTTCTGGGGCGACGGCGATCGATGCTTCTTTGGCGATACTGGAATGAAGCTCCCTTTCATGGCCGAGGGTACCGTAACTCGACCCTTGCCTCCCGATCTCTCCGAGTCCTGTGCCATGGCGGGAAGATCAGTCGACGTCGTTGACGTCTTCTCTCGAGTATAGCGCTGATTGGAGATTCGAGAGCCAACGGAGCGAGATTTTCTTCGACGTTTGGATTCGTTGAGCTTCCCAACCCTCGAGCGGAACGAATTCTCGCGGAAGTCAGGTCTCGCACGTTGATTGATTGAAAGTAGTAAAGAACGAGATCTTTGAAGGACAACCTGAGGAAAAGGGCCGACAAGTTCAGGGTCCTCGAATTGACTCGTCCGAAGGTCCGAAATCCAAGCCTCAATCCGACTGCGATAAGATGAAGGGTCTAAATAAACAAATACACACTTTAGCGCATTGCCGAGGATCAAGAAAAAGAAGGGAGATTGGTCAGTTGAAGTGAAAGGTGAATTTTGTGCAGCGGCTTCCCGGATGGTGAAGCACGCACGTTTGTTTGCATACCTCCTTGTGGAAAAATAGCTTCTAGGTCAACTGATTCTCCGGCAGGGTCTAAGGCGGGGCGAGGTTCTGTTTGACCGGAATACGCAAATAAGCCAAAATTCGGTTCGGCGGGAAAGGGAGGGATGACGATGGCCGACGAGGAACGATGAAGGACAGACAGGGACGTGGGAAAAGTAGCAAAACATCACTCTAGTTATCAGTCTACCTACCCTCAAGCATCAGTGAGAAATGCCGCTCACTGGAGTCTTCTCCCGACAACGAGAAGCCGTCAGTTCTCTGCTCTGACTTGTACTCTGTCTGTGACAATAATTGATCCCTCACATCGCTTGCTGCGGTACGTCAGTCGTTTCTCCCCAGGCAGACCTTGAGTACCTACGTCGAGGGGAACACTCCAGTGGCTTTGCGCCAAGAGCCTCCGATGGTTCAGATGCTGCGACCTTTTCCAGGCTTAAGGATGATCGCAACTTGCGTTGCCTCGTACGTACATCTTCCATGTGATAGTCGCTGTAGGATGCCTGAGATCCCGTGACAACGCCCATATCTAATTGCGAGCCACCAAGTGAGCCTGAGGGAGAACAATCACTCTGAACGTATGCGTAGAACGCCGAAAGCGATGGTTGATGCCGTGCTTGAGCGACGAGTGTCAGTACCAAAGATCTCGACTGAAAGTCTATAAACAGCAGAAAACACCTACTAGAGTTCATAACATCCAGACTCAGAGACGAGCTGGGCCTCGATGACGCTCTGGAGTGAGAACGCTTCTCCGATCGATCGCTTGAGGCCATCCTGCTGGAGCGAGACCCCCGTCCGACGTCACGAAGGACGGGTTGTTGCTTCGTGATGGTCAGCTCTCGAGCTTTTCCAAGCATGACTTCAGTAGCAATTTGCCGGACTCCGTCATTATCGGAAGGGCTACAAATACTGAATAGTGTCGAGCCTGCGAGCTTAGCCGAAAGAGTTGGGCTGCGAAGTTGGTTGAGAGATGGAGCAAGCCGCAGTTTGTGGGTCTCGATGTCGACGACATTGACAGGGTGTATCCTTGATTTATCTACCACCAGCCATCGATGATCAGGAACACCACGCTCCCCGCCAACTTGGGAGAACCTGGGTGAATCCTGCCATTTCCCAGAGGGACGCGCAATAGACCGGATGGTCTGTGAGTTCGAACGAAAATTTGTTGGCGCTTGGAATCCGTCGTTCTTAGCGGCAACCCCGCATTGTGTGCGAGCCAGGCTCTTGCAACAGGCGCTATCTTGGGCGGACGGCGTCGTGCCGACATCGTCGTCTACGGCACCATCTAGGCCGAACCAATTACTGCTGGGGAGGGGATAGTTCTTACAGTCACGCTTCATTGAGTCGCCCCAAGCCATACTCGGCGGCCTTTCGGTGCCAATGCCCCATGCAAGGGGACTGTGCCCTTGTTTATCAGATTCTGGAGTAGCGATATCCAGGCCAAACCAATCGTGGCCGCGTTGGGATTTTGGTGTTCTGATAGGCTTAGGGGAACCAACGTCGCTTTGCCTACGAGAACTGACAACTGTCTCGTGAGATAAGAATCGGCCGTATGCGTGGGATGGCGCAGCGGCAGGGTCAACAAAGACCCGTCGATGGTCTAGTCCACCATCAAAGCCGAGTTGAGGTGTGAATGGGCCACGAAACTCCTAGGAAGGGCTCATCAGCCCCTGTACGGCAGCATCCGCCAACAGCTTCCTGGCCTTGATGTCCGCCGTAGGCATCATCTCGTGAGACAGCGACAGCGGTAGAGGTTGGCTATCGGCTATCAAGGAAAACTTCCTAGCGAAAATTGCATGCGGCGTCACGCAGCCTTCAGGCAGAGGCACAGGCTTCGGATTGGGAGATGCGCGAAAAGACAGGACGGTTTCCAGTCCGAACATGTTGGTGAGCCAACTAAGGCGTTTGCTCCGAGGCGGCGGTTCTTCAGCATATCGAGACATCGAAGTATTTCCTCTCCTTTTTAGCGCACGGAGAAGAGACAGAGACTTCCTGAAGTCTGACCTATTCGCATAAATGTTGTCGTCATCGGGATTGTTGTCCAAGTTGCTCTTCTCCGTTTCTTGATGTATTGAAGTAGTTAGGACGACTTTTTCTTCCTTGACAAACCTGCCAGCCCTCCCAGCTTGAAGCTGCCATTGCATTTCATGCAGTTCTTTCGGATTGGGACTGCGGAAAGCACAGGTGCCACCACCACGGGTCGAAACGTACATAGTGTGGTCAATCATCCAAGCTTTGCGACTGCGTATGCAACTTGGCTCGTTGGAGCTTACCCTTGTCGATGGGTAATAGTCTGAAAGCCTGATCGGATACCGATGCGGATGCTGCTGGCGCCACCGCACAAGACTCACCGTGGGCCGTACAGACGAAGTGATCGTACTCATATGAGGAATATGGGGCAACTCAAGGTTGGACTGCGGCGTCGACGTTAGCAGCTGCGACCGTAATTACTTGGACTGCTAGCTTACATGTCGATTAAGATGATCATGTTTCCAGCGTTGAAACTCAGCACCCGGGTCGTCGGAATATTGGCAGTCAATTTCGATCAACTCGTATAGCACGCCTCCAGCTAAATCCAGATTCTCGTCTCCGAGGTGTTCGCGCAGGACCAGAAACACCTGCCGTGGACACCATGAGCTTGTTATGTATCTTGGCAGAGCGAATGAGAGTGCCCGACTCACAAGTTGAACACCGTCCCGGTATTGATAGTTCCGGGGTATGTGTGCACAGTATCTGACAAGTACGTTGCGGCACTCTAAGCATACTTTAGTACTTGGCCAAGAACTTGAGCCAGCAGCAGTAACATACTCCCTTCATCATATCCGTTCCGCGATAGAGTGTCCTGGACGAAAGTATTTCCCATCTCGGCGAGCCTTCGCCGCCACTCCTCATCATCAGCCTGGGCAGCTGTCTGAATAGACTCAACCCAGGCTTGGAGGCTTAGCCGGTTCCGCATCGTTTCAAGAGTTCTCGAAGGTCGCCAGAATGGTCGGTAGCTGTCAGACGATTTTGGCACGGTGGTGTACGCCTTGAGGGAGTTGTTCGTCAGAGCGTGTTGCGATACTACTACTTGCTCTATGGCGGCGCACGGTTGCGCGTAGAGAGGCTTTCTCGTCGTCGTCTTAATCGATAGTATTATCAACGGTGCGTTCATACAGACTTTCGAGTTCTTGGCAAGCGTGAGAAGGAGAACGAGGGAACACAAGCGAGAGGCAAGACGTGAGATTCCTCGCTGCAGTACCTACCACAGAGAAATCAACGAAGCCCTGGAGGTCGAATCAACAAAGAAATGACTGTAAAGGGAAAGCAAGCGTAGTCGTCAGGAAAGCACCTAGTTAGGTAGGTCGTAAAGGAAAGCACACACCATCTGCTCCAAGGTAGGCAGGCGCGAGTCTTTCCCTATCCCCCCAATCTTGTTGGCGATGCATCGGAATGGAAGGTCCATCCGGGTACGGAAGCTTCCGATCTGGATTGAATGTATCCATGATATAGCATCTTGATCACAAGCTTTTGTTCCTGATGCGCCAGGTCACTTGACCAATTGTACCACTGATATACCTATGGTACTACTACAGATTGTCTGGCATTTGCGATACCCTCTAACCCGCCCGCTACCAGCTAAGCCAATATCTGCAGTCTTTCAGCCGCAGTCACTTCGCTTGAAGTAAGCCACAGAAGCCATTCATAGCCGAACATTGATACGCCTGCGGGAATCCGGTGGCGCTGATGATGCCGATGACCGGGGAGTTAACATCTCTTACGGCGGCTAGATTTGGACACTAAATGGTGACCTCGGCCTGGCGACATTGTAGCTTGTCCGTCGGACATTAAGTTGCCCTGGCTCCAACGCTCTTGAATGAGCGGTCAATGTGGCATCCAGGCCGATCCAGTTATCATGAAGACATGACGGCAAGTGGTATAACGAAGTAGTTTTGCGCAAGCAGCCCGTTAATTGTCTGGACCACATCACTGAAATGATGTACTACCTTAGTTAGTAGCAACTTGTTTTGTTTTGGTCTAGAGATTGTACTGATGGTACTCGAATGCAAAGCACACACCTGGGCCCAGCCTCATGCCAGGTTGATCCCGTCTCGGAAGAGGTGGCTAGCGCATGAAAGACACCATGGCGCGGTGAAGAATCTGCAATGATGCACGCCCAGCAAGGGTTCGTGGAAAAGCCTTTAGATGCCTCCCGTGGCCATGTGCGTTGATGACTGAGTATTTTCGATCGGTCGAGTCTAGATGCCTAGAACTTTAAGAAGGCCCTCGACGATGCGGGACATCCGGAGGTTGTGATGGTTGGAAGGGCTTCTTTGGACGGCCGAGGTTCCGTCCAAAGTTCTGCCCTATGCGTCTCAAGTCGACCATTAAGCTGGTTACGAGCCATTAAGACGGCACCTTGCGTTTGCGCTTCAGACGCCTGACGCCAGGCGCCAATCGAGTATCGAACTATGGGCCGGGTTCTAGCCTAAACACAATAATGGTGAAGTCGCCTCCCGACTGGAGACATCAGGCGCGGTCACGTGTGCTTCGGCGCTCTGCATTACCTACTAATTACGGTACGGATACCTGAGGTACGTCTCCCATGGAACAATGTCACTTCGGTTCGGTCGGTGCCAACGGCAAGTGCCCTCGGGGTGCAGCTGCACCGTCTTTCCCCGCACTTTGCCTTCTCCAACTTCCGAGGACCCCAAGATAGCCTTCATTAGGTGGAGTTAGATTACCTAGGTATAATTGGCTCCTTCAAGGCAAATGGGGTCGTAGGCTAAGCTTAGCTGTCCCGAAACATGTACCGACCGCCGCCCAGATGCCGTCTCCAACTGCCTTTTGGCTCTTTATTGTGGGAGTTTTTGAGGGAAAGGTACAACCACCAAAGAGTCGATGTGAGCTGCCCCACCACCAACTTGCCGACTTGACTACCCGAGTCACTTTTGTCAAGTCTGAGCTCCCCCGGGCAGGGATACCCAGCCGGCCAAATCACTGGAAGGCTCTCATAGCGCTTCACTCAGCAAAGCCTCCCGAGTCCCTCTCTCTTAGGTTCCCTCGGAAGCATCTCCATGACGTGCCTGCCGCACCCACGGGTCACACTTGCAGCATGGCCATTCCCCTATACCATGATTGGTCAGACTCAGCTTGAGTCGCACTTGGCCACATCCGTGATCCTGGCTGCCTATATGCCAAAGACCACCCAAGTTGCACCCTAGTGTGGGGATTTGGAGTTCCCGGCCTGCGTTGCCGTCCCCAGTCTGCTTCCCGATATCGATGCCGGCCTCTTCGTCCCCTTGGGATCGGTCTCACTGTCCAGTGGTCCACGGAAATCTTCCCGCCGTCTATTCCGTCCTTGCTCCGATTGAAATCTCTCTGCCAATCGGTCTTCTACTGTATATAAAGCCATTCGCCGCCTCGTTTCCCTACCCACGCGGCTCTTTTCTCGATGACACCATCCTTCTCTGATTTCTTGGCGCAAAACTCCCCTCCTTCGACTAACCTTTAGAAGCCCCCGTCAGCCATTGATCCGCTCCCACAGACTTGCTTTTGCTTATTCGATTCGACCGAAGTTTGCACTTCTTATTGTAAGATGGAGACGCAACCTGATCGCCAGTCAGGCACCTACTATGACATCGGTAAGTCACTGCTACCCGAATCCGCGTTAAGTTGCTTGCTGACGTGTTTTCCCAAAGTAATTGTAGGTGCTGGGCCTGTCGGCCTGATGCTGGCAACCATTCTAGCCAGATGGGGATACAGAATCAAGCACATCGACAACCGAGCTGAGCCGACCCCAACTGGAAGGGCCGACGGCATTCAACCACGCTCTCTCGACCTTCTTCGCAACATGGGCCTCAAATCGGCTATTATGGCTCACAAGCCTGCTAGAGTCTACGAGGTTGCTTTTTGGGACCCGCCCAAGTCGGGCAACGGAATCGCCAGGACTGGAACTTGGGCGAGTTGCCCGGAATTCGTCGATGCCAGGTATCCCTTCACGACCCTTTTGCACCAAGGTCATATTGAGCGCGTTTTCATCAATGACCTAGAGAAGAACGGCGTGCAGGTTCAACGGCCATGGACCATTACGGGATTCTCATCAAATGAGGCCGAAAACTCCGAGTATCCTGTTGAGGTTAAACTTGGACATGTCGATGGGACCGCCCAAGAGACGTTGCGTGCCAAATACCTGTTTGGCGGCGAGGGTGCTCGTTCATTCATCAGGAACCAACTACAGATTGGCATCAAGCACAAAGATCCCATATCTTACGTATGGGGTGTCATGGATGGCGTTGTAAAGACCGACTTTCCAGACATCAAGGTAAGCACGTTCGTGAGGAAAAGTCTGTCGGGTCAGATGCTGACATTGAGATAGATGAAATGCACAATCCATAGCAAGCACGGCTCCATCATGGTCATCCCTCGGGAGGATAACATGGTCCGTTTGTACATCCAAATCGCATCCTCCACTGACCCAGACTTCGACCCGCGCAAGACGGCAACCGAGCAAGAAGTACAGGAATCGGCTCAGCGAATACTGCAGCCTTATTCCATCGAATGGGAGAGAACGGAGTGGTATTCAGTCTACCCTATCGGACAAGGGATCTCGGACCGCTACACTCTAGATCAGCGGGTGTTCCTTGGAGGTGATGCCTGCCACACCCACAGCGTGAGTGATCCTTACAAGAGCGAAAAGAAGCTTCTGTACTAACCAGAACATCAGCCCAAGGCCGGCCAAGGCATGAACACTGCGTTCCTTGACGCCCAAAATCTGGCCTGGAAGATCCACGCTGTAGAGGCTGGGTTTGCGCAGCGCGATATTCTCAAAACGTATGAAACTGAGAGGAGGGACGTAGCTGAAACTTTGCTCGACTTCGACAATAGGTACGCTAAGCTGTTCTCTCAACGACCTGACGCAGCAAGCGAAGCTCAGGCAGCTACCGAGAACGCCGGCCAGGAGCAGTCCGAAAACGCGTTCATCAAGACTTTCAAGGAGTCATGCGAGTTTACAAGTGGTTATGGAGTGGCCTACAAGCCAAATGTCTTGAATTGGTCTGAATCACACCGGGCTAAATCATCCTTGATCCACCCCGAGGGTACGAAGCTTCGCACAGGCCGCCTGTTTATGAACGCCGATGTTACGAGGGTTGTCGATGCCAATGTTGTCCATCTGGAGCAAGAAATACCGCTCAACGGTTCCTTCCGCATCTTCGTATTTGCTGGAAAGCCTTCAACTACTCGCCAGGCCCTCGGAGATTTCGCTACTCATCTCAACAACAAGCGCTCGTTCTACGCCTCCTATCTAAGAGAAGACGTGGACAGCGTTTCACACCACGAGCAACACAACCCTCACAGCATATTCTTCTCACTGGCCACGATCTTTGCGGCAAAGAGAAACAGCATCGAGATTTCGCGCGACGTCCCGGAGGTACTGGGGCGGTACCGCGACCATGTATACGCCGATGACAGGTGGGATCGTCGAGTGCCGGACGCCAAGGCTGCTGCGCATGCCAAATTGGGACTTGATGAGGAAAAGGGTGGCGTTGTCGTCGTGCGTCCTGACGGTTATGTTGGGATGGTTGCGAAGCTGGTCGAAGGCAGCGGCACGGTTGATGCATTGAACGAGTACTTCGGCGCATTCTGCACCAAGAAGGTTGGAGAGACGCTAGCACAGCTGTGATGCACTCGAGTAGCAAAAGAATGTGTGACAGTGCTTTGGGTGAGGATTTCACAATATTGGTGTACAGGTACTGAGTCGGGACCTTACTTAATGGCGTATTGGAGCGAAACAACAAGTGGATTTCTGTAAGAGAGGGGTAGGCTAGTCCGATATATTTCACGATAGACACCACAGCATCATCTGCAAATTCGTTTGACGAAGACAAAGAAAAGTATTTTTTTCCTCCATCGTGTATCAACCAAGCGAAAGCCAGGCTCAGAAACAAGTACATCCGACATGCCGTCGAGATCAAACAGATGTCTACGGAGAGAAGCAGAAGAAGAAGAAGTAGAAGAAGCTTGATGGGTACATGTTCTGCTCATGAGAGGTGCTTCGTATTCCAATGCAACATGAACAAATATGTCATTTTAGATGGTTGTTTCGCTCCTTCCGCAGCTTAAGGTGACGGGAAAGAGGGGAGTAGGTGCCTTCCTACCTTACCTTAGGTAAGGTAGGTATGCACGGCGGCACCTCAGCCAGATGTGCTAGGTAGTGGGGCCATGTCTGCAGCTTCAGAGTTGCCAAAAATGAAGCCTATTAGCGCAGGTACCTTCGGTACCTATATAATCTACGTACCTTGTGAAGGCCATCTCCATCGCAATGCCAAAGGGGACTTCTCAAATCCCCACCGTGTCTGTTGTCCGCGCCTTCCTTCCTCTTGTGCGCAATTATTGGAGGCGCGTATGCCATTTCAATCTCTGGTTGCTACCTACCTGCCTTGAATATCTTTCTCAATGAACAGCAGTGCGACTTCTTCCCCTACAACAAAGAGCGCGCTTCGCCTTACAGAGCCTCTCTCAACCTCGATCCGCCACGCGCAGCCCAGTTCAACTTTCCATCACGGCCGTTTTCTGGCATCGCGACAACACCCACCTTCCGATTCAGCCACGCGCCTTTGCACCAATTCCTGATCGCGAAGCTACAGAAGCACAGTAAAAACCCCCGGCGTTAATTTTTTTTTTTCTCGCTTCATCGCACTTTTCATCTACGCCTGCTCTCTTTCGCGCCGTCTCGCCTTTGACTTTCGTGGTGCTTCCTTCCAAGCTAATCAACATGGCTCCAGACCAGCAGCAGATCCCGAATCACCGAGCCCCTCGCGTCAAGCCTCAGCAAATATTCGAGGGCAGAGTCGGCTTTTTCATCCCTCGGGAAGAGTGCCTCGCGAGCAGCAAAAACGGTCGAGCAAAACCACCCAAGATCGAGAAACCCAGAACCTTCGAATTCAGCTGCGAATCCCACCGGCCTAGCCAAAAAGCCCTCGTCAACTCAGGCCTCGATCACCGCGTTCGCCTTGTCGGCACTCATGCTCCCCAGCAATTGACAACCTTTATTCAGACTACCGACAGCCCGAAATCCGGCCCCAAGCGAGTTTCAGTCGAACAGACGGAAATCCCTAAGACTGCGTGCCAGAAGGCCGAGGAAGCGGAACATCTGAGAGAAGCTACGCATAAGAAGGAGGAGAAGACATCGAGATCAGCCAACACTATCCACTCCCCTCAGAAAGATCAACAGCCTTTGCTTGGGATTTTGAAAGCCAGAGGCCTCTTTCCCACACGATCGTCGAGGCTTACCGAAACCCCTCTCTTCACACCGGCTAAAGCAAAGGACGAAAAGTCGCGGATCTGTTCTAAAGGGCGGAGGCAAATTCCGGGTCCTTCAAAGAACGAGAAGCAAAGAAAGTTCTCTTCGGAAGATTTGTTCGTTCGCCAGCTCCCCAATAAGGCCATTCTCTTCCCTAGGTCTCGGCAGTCCGCATACCTCAGACCAGCGACTACTCCAGCGAGACTTGCGCCGCAGGCCACCCGTATCGCCAAGAGCTCTAGGCACTTACCTGCCTTGGAAAGGCTACTCCCCGGCGTCCACACCGCCGTCTCTAGGGCCCAGCGCCTCAGTTTGAAGGATCTTGTGATCCAGCCAGAGGGAAGAATCGAGCTCTTCGGCCCGAGTGGTCCAGTCACCACCGAGTTAGCCAAAAGAACACAAGGCAATCATACTATTACCGCAAGTGTCTCTACAAGGAAGTGCTCTCATTCATCCTCAAGCTTCCACCTCTGTTACTCTAACTCAGAAGCCGAGTCGGAGTCTGAGGATACTTGTCTTAGTTCGCCATCTGCGGTGTCACCAGGTGCTTGCTCCCTCTGCCCCAACCAATCAACAATCGTTATCCCTCCCAACGAACTAAAACTCATCGAAGTGAATGGAAATTCGAGAACTAGAAGATTTGGCGTTCAGGGGTCGACCTTGAAGACAATCACAGCTCAACCCACCGAACAAGAATCGCGATCCACGGACGAAGGCTCACCTGCTACAAACCCATCACGGAAGCGATCAGCTCAAGACTCAGAGTTCGACCTCATCCTGGCGAATGCAACGGATGGGAGGGAGCCCGTGCAGGAGCCGCTCGCGAACGCTCGAGGTGCTGCCGTTCTGGTCCCTAACGAAGAAGACGTACGTTGTATGGCAATCTTACGTCAGGGCGATACTGATCATGGTCAACAGAGACCTCGAGACTACGCGAATTGGCTCATCAATATCATGACATCAGTCCGTGGCACGGTCACAAAAGTCTCCGGTAGCATCGTTGGCTACGGTAAGTTTGCTTCTAACAGACGGTCGTGAGCCCATTCTAATTCAGTCGTAGTATACCCTCGCAATCATACCTTTATTCCCATTGAGAGACTCTCTCGTGATCAGCGGAATGGAGATACTGGCACAAAGCGCATCAAATTGGAGGTTGTGGATGAATTTGCCGACGAAAGCCCAGCCGTACAGCAACGCGGTGGGGTTGCAAATATGGAATCGTTCAAAACCAACCTAATCTGGGTTGATGAATCGACAAGAATCGCTCATTGGCATCACGTAGCTCCGCTCGTACGCTCTTTGAGGAGTTTTTGCCGCCGGATCGAAAAGAGGCGATCAGGATCCAGGGATGGGTCTCCTGTCTTTCGAGTGGACGACGAAAACCCCGTGCAGCATATTTACGTCCTCAGTCCATACCTCAAGACTTTCCAGCAAACTGCTTGGATTCTTGAAAGTATATACTCTCACACCTTCTTAACGGATCTGAAGACCACTTTCAAGGTCCCACAGTCTGTCATGAACTATACTTTCAGCCCCGAGGAAAACTTTGCCATTACCATGGCACAGCGCCTATTCGACCATTTTCCTGATGAATGCACTCCCGTGCTGATTGAGGCTGGCGTACCGCGACGAGTTATTCAAGGAATCAGTGCCGACTTGGTCGCCCTGGCTAGTCGGAAGCCAATGCCTGGACTCGTCCAACGGGCTGGCTTAGTTGGAAAGGTCATGAAATTTTTCCGGGGACGTGATACCTTCGGCATCGAAGCATCCGAAGACCCCGTCTCGAGGATCGATGTTGCAATGCCCGGCAGCTTTCCGGACACCAAAACAAACAGCGAAGTTTTGGATGAGGAGGCGGAAGCTTCGATAAAGGTCAACTATCGGAGACAAATCCCATCCGCCCATGCAATCACAAACTCCGGAAATTATTGTCCTCCTGCAAGGACTACCGATGCGTATATGTTTGTCAAAGATCACTTAGTCGACATCGCAAATCAACGCAGGTCTGCGTACAAGAACCCGCCCCCCGGCATGGTATCAGACGACTTAATCTGCAAACCAAGCCCCATCTCTGCACTAAAAAGAGACAAACAATCTCCTGCCTCACTGAAGCGACTTCACAAATCACGAAGCCTCAAAAGAGTGCAATTCTCATCTGCCAAGCAATCAACTCCTTCGCCGTTGAAATCGACGAGCTTTCTCAACCGGATATTCGGCTCTCCCACCGTTTTTGGATCACCACTTGCTTACGTTGTGGACACCAGCCCTCTGAGCGACGCCCAGATCGACGGCTTGTCAGACAGTCGTACCACTGAGATACCGGATCAGTACCCATGCACCGAGCCAAAATCTGAAGACATATTAGAAGATAGCGACGGAGAGAAAATCGCGGCCCGCTGCCAACCTCAACTGCTGCAGCATCTTAGGAAATCATTAAACGGCCTTGAAGCTAAAGGATTCTTCATCAAGGACGAAGACCAGGACCCGTCATCCTGCCCACCTAGCCCGCTAACCCTCCCAACCCTGGCAGATCTGACCATCTCGGACGACAAAGAAGAGGAGCTCGAAGACCTTTCTCTCGCTTTGCAGCTGTTGCTTGACGTCGACGAGGCACGCCGAAGAGAAGAGGAGGAAAAGAAAGCTAGAAAGGCAAAGGAGGAGAGGCTGTTGAAGACGGGTGGACTCCGCGTTCCTCGGAGACGTTTGGTCACCTCTTTACCGGTCGAATGGACCGAGAGGGTAAATGCCACGATGCGGGCCAACCCCCAGCAGACACTCGCAACTACAGCTGAAAGCGTCTCCCTCAAGCGACATGACTTCGCAAAAGTAGTCCCGGCAACCGTATGGCTCAACGACGAAATTGTCAATGGAGCATTGCAATGGCTCGACCGATACGTCAATGTGGCTGTAGGCGCCGTGGACGTCAAGGCACCAAACCGGGTGTGCGTGGCCATGGGCTCGTTTTTCTACAAAAGACTGGAGGAGAATGGTGTCCAAAACACTGAACGAGCACTTCGCCGTTACGGAGTCAACAAAAACAACTTCCTCAACCTGGAGACGATCCTCATGCCCATCTGTAAGAACAACCATTGGACGTTGCTCGTCATCCGGCCCAAGATGCGTACCGTATCGCACATGGATTCCTTCAATCCTGCCGGCTCGACCGCTCACACTAATAGAGCCTTGGCTTGGGTCCAAGCCTTCTTAGGTGGCGACTATAAGGCCAGCGAATGGAAGGCAGTTACTCACGAGGCTCCGATGCAGACCAATGGATACGACTGCGGTGTATTCACGATCACCAATGGAATGTGTCTCGCTCTCGGGCTAAATGCCATTGACGCTTACTCTGGCGAAGATTTGCCAGAGCAACGCCTGAGAATCGCCGGTATGCTTCTCAACAAGGGCTTCAGCGGCGAATTTGATCTCGCTGATTTGTAAACAACGATATCCGTCTTCCAAGCTTGCAGCACGGTGGGCAGCGGAGTGTAGTCGATGCATCATGGCAAGTTTTGGAATGATCGAAGAACCATATTGCTGAGCAGTGCGGAATCAGGATGATGAAAGCATGGACAGCAGCTGAGGTCTGTCCATTCTAGTTGCTTGACTTTTTTTTTCGATATGATTATTTGCCTTCGTGGGAGGGACATGGGGAACTCGGATGGCCAGGCGTTGCCTAGAGGTATTGGGAGTTCTCGGATGGATACCACAGGAAAGCCGGGCGTAGAGGCTTCTCGTTGAAATTCTGTGCACAAGTGTTTGTATGTATGTCCGACCACTGCTGTTTGTGCTTGGCATCTCGAAAAGATGGGTGGAAAGAGCGTCAGGGGTCAAATCACACTCATAGCCTGGAATATGAGCAAGGTTCAAAACGGTGTTGAGTCGTCAGTACAACTCTGTGAATGCCCCCGCAGGCGCTCAAAGAAGAAGCTATCCGCATCTAGGTACTATACGTGTAAGTCCCCCATGACTTAGCCGAAGGAGCTATGGCAGCTCAGATCCAACGGACTAGCCCAGCCAACCCGAGATTTGCGTCACCCAAATTTTCAATCATCACATGGGTGTCTAGGATCGGATACTGGCGACTCTGCGTTGGCGAAGGGCAAGGACATTGCGGCAGCTGATTGACGCGGTCCCACTCCCCGGGACCACGCAAAACCACACGCTCGCTGCCTGCCTGAATCATTTCATCACGTCAATTTTGGCATGTCTGCCTGCCAGCCAAGGTACCTTGGCTCAGTCCTGGTCTCTATCCAGCACCGGTCCCCCTTCTACTTCTGATCTAATGGCTCGGGTCCGGTGCCGGCTGCATTCAAGAAACCCTACTTTAGGTACGGCATCCCCAAGGACCCCCATACCGGTCTCTTGCCGGTCCTTTGCCGATGTCCAACTACGCTAAGCCACACTGAACTACGGATAGGGCCAAGGTGTTTGCTCTGGGACAGCTTCCGTTGAGGCAACCCTCAGCGGCAGGCAGGCAGGCAGGTAGGTAGGCAGACAAATTGGATTTCAGTTGCGGGACGCCGAGAAACCCTTCCGCGCCGGACTGTGGGTTCATTGGTTCCTTGGCACTCTGATCTGTTGTCCGCTTGGTGGTCCCATGGTGGCATATTGTATACTGTCCCGTTGTTCTCTCCGCCTCCCCCTGCTGTGTGCCCCGTCGCCGCCGCCGCTCACGAGTCACAAGCATTGTAGGCTACATCTTGCAAAAGATTGACGTAAAACACACACATTCGAGCGGTTACATAGCGGGGACGAGGAAGCGGGAGGTGAGGGGAGGTCCTATGTACCAGAGAGTCAACAGTAGGACGTTTCCCACCTCGACGCGTCCCTGTGAGGGGCCGACGGGTGTCTTTTCTTGGAAAGGGCAAACGCGACCTGGCGGTCAAACGGATGTGTGTTCCACGCTACGGAGGGAATGGAGTGGCGGCCGAGAGGCTGGCTGACAACTTTGACACCACTACTCTCGCGAGACAGAAAAAAGAACCACAAGCGCCACTAAGCTCCGTGAAATCGCTGGGCCTGGCTCCCACGATCGACCCAGGGATTTTGAGCTGTCCCGTTGATTTGATACAGGTGAGATGGTCGCCAAAGGGCGGGCGACAGGTGGGCACGGTTTCCCAAGCCCCTCTTCCGCTTCCTCCCTGCGCAATTGAAGGGTTTGAAATGTCCAACGACTCAGGCGGCTGCATTGTCGAGCGAATGGCGCTTCCGAGTGGCAAGGTCACCGAGGAGTTCCCTGGAAAGGAGTCGTTGAGTTTGGTACCCGTATCCCTTACGAGGGGTTCTGGATGGACGGGAACTCCGCGCCGTTTTGCGCGCATGGATTCATCTTTCAAAATGTTTGATAGTAAGAAAACCGGGACTCAAGGACCGTCTTTTACGCTTTCTGGCAACGTTTCCCGCCCACCTGTCCACGACAACAAAAGGCTGGATTCAATATGTCAACGGGAAGAGCGTCGGCTCCACGTGTCCATGTAAGACGGAACCCGAGCATTCTCATCCTTTCTTTCTCTTCAGCGGAATCAGGTACAGACGGTGGAGCTGGGGATAGGGAGATCGCCTGAACGTTCCTGCCGATCGTTGTCGGTACGAACCCGCGCGCAAGAGCAGGGCCCAGTGGAGTTGTCCTGTGTTAGACGTGGAACGTGAGCGGGCCGTCAAGACTCAGGTCCCTCTACCTGTGTAGTCATATCTGGCCCCAATGGCGGAATTGGGGGCATATCGCGCGGAACAATCTCAACCAACGAAGATCCTACAGCTGGTCTGCTAATCACACGTTGGGAACAGCTGCGGACGACGGCAAAAAACGATGAATAGCCCCAGAATATTGCTCAGGCGCTCAAGATCCAGTCCCTTTACAGATATCCACCCCACCATACGCTAGACGTGGAAACTAGGAGACTCGTCGCAGAGCTGGTGTTTCTAGATTTGATGTCAATGCGGCCAATAGAATAAGGGCAAATTTCTGGCGGTTCAGAGAAAGAGAGAGGGTCAAGCAGGAGTCAGTTGAGGTCCTTGCCATGGAGTACTGCCTGGGTGAACCGTAAACGAGACAAATAACAGACCCAGAGCCCAGCAAGTAGAAGTATCAAAAACAGTCGAAGACTGGAAATTCAAGTGGGCCATGCATGTTGAGATCGTATCCGAAGCGAGTGCACCCGAGGGTCTCCTCCCACGGATGTTGACCGTGTAGCGCCCAGCGCCGTTGAGATACTTGAGTCGGCGGCGCGGCGCGATTCGGAGACAGTAACCCCTTTGTTGGGTCGGACGGCCGGGTCCGCCTAGATATGTGATCTCCGGCCGTCCTGTGGTTGGAGTTTGAATCGCATTCGGTGCGAAAGTAACAGCGCATCAAGGGCGGTTACGGATACCTTACTGTGAAATGCGATTCGGGATACCGGTGACGCCGTCGGCGCTACGGAGATTTTTGCGTCGTTGGGTCCCTGCATCGTACCGAGGTCCAGTCAGCTGTTGTCTTCGTGCACTGCACTGGTACTGGGCTAAATGCCAAGGGATCCCCACATACCTCTATGCTTCAGGTGGTAGAGCCCAGGTGGAGGGACCCAAGTGCATATGGCCGGCATGGTCCGGGATCTGATGGTTTCGTGGTGACGGTGTCCCAACCAACTCGTCGGCGCGCGTTCAATTGGTTGATTGCTCCGTGCAAGCATCCAGCATCCGGCGGGTGAGTACGTGACTTGGAGACTTGAAGACTCTGGCCCGGGACTCCTGGCTTCCAGCGAAGTTTGAGTAAGTCCACCCATGTCGGATGTCGTTCGTTAGGTCACGGTGCTGCCACTGCGAGCGCGTCAGTGTCAGACTCAGTGGTGCATATCGCCCGCAGCCGCTGACCAAGGAGGCTCCACCCCGCCAGGAAGCATGAGGTGCCGCGTGCGTTGATGGCGCTCCCACAGACGGAGATTTTGGGGCGGAGAAAAGGATCAGGATCCAATTGGGAGTCGGAACCAGCCATCAACGGAGATTGAAAGAACACTAGCACAGAAAGAGAAAGATTCTAGAAGCAAACATCATTGCCACAATGGCCTTCTCTCTTCCGTGAACCTTCCGCATCCATTCCGCTTCGGGCTTGTTGGCAGGGAACAGTCAGACGTCCAGGCAGCCGGCGTTCATATCCTCAGCTCGGGAGTAAGGCGGCAGAGCGGTAGGTCGGTCGGTAGGGCGCTTGGGCGGTACCAAGAACCTACTGGCAAGAGAGAAAGCTTGGCTGCGGATTGCTGATTAGGGACTGGTGGCGGGTGCGTGGGTAGTTGTCAGATGGCAATGTCTCTGGAGTCTGCTGTTTGCGAAAAAGAGGACTCAAAATGCGGGCGGCGCGGATAGTCTTCAAAATCGAGTACCTTCCATACCTACCTTCTATACCTAAGGTACCTTCTGTGCTTCCTTAACGTACCTAGTGTACGAATACCTAACTGAGGCACACTACGGGGGTGAGGACCGGGCCAAAGGTAAGGTAAGGTAGGTAGGTACCATCAAGCTAAGACAGCACTCTCTTTCCCATTCGAATCTTTGAAGGAAATGACCATGTGAGCACGCATACGGACAGAATTTGCCCAAGAAGCCTCGCCGCACATCCCATTTGTAGGGCCATGACGACATGACGTATTTGGACGCGAACCTTTGTAGTTTTTCTAGCTCACCCCCCTACCCCCTTCCGAGATGGAGCGGGGAAGGGGAAAAAAAA